TACTCAAATATTGCAAAATGTGCAGCAACGTTTGAGCAAAATCTTTATTATTGCATGGAGAGTCCATTTTCAACATTTACTTGCCTAACGGGTTAGTTCATTCTTCATTTTTAAATTACTTTGCTGCCAAATGTATTGATCTCCAGTAATGACGATGTATTAAATTCAAATAAGGTAAGGATAAACTTGAAAACTGGCGAAATTGTCCATCCATGCATGTAATATGAATGTGAAGGCATCTTTACTAGAATATAATTCAAGTATTGTCGCAATTGTTACATCAACCATTTATTCCATCTCATTCAACTAGCCGATAAATAAGATTACAGAATTGATGAGAGAAAAGCTTACAAACGATTCTGCCAGGTCAGTAGTATCAAGTACCAAATATGAAAAAATTGAAGTATAAGGTAAAGAAGGAATTTCTTCTGGAACCATTTTTCTCCATAAGATATTATTAATAGTTTATAAATGGATTTAAAAAAAAGACTACCAAGGTATCGGAAACGTTAGTTACCTTTTCCCATTAATTCTGTGGTATCATTTATTTACCACTTGAATGAAATAGAATCAGCAAACAATCACAAGTATCGGGAACTTTATTAAAAGCAATTTACTGGAAAACTTGTATACCAAGTGTGTCATAAATTTTCGCAAGGATGTGCAGCCAAGATTCACATTAGTAACCTAGATGAGCGGAAATTTATTGCACAGCAGTCTCAAACAAAATAATATAATGTAAATTATATTTTTCCTGAAGTTAAGGTGTCCAACGCAAAAGTTGCTCTTATGACCAACCAAAGAACAAATTTCCAATTCATCGGTGAACATTACTGTTTTCAAAGTCTTTTCCGTATTTGTGTCCTATAGATTTGATGAAGTTCACCTGGAAGTTGTTGGTCAGGTATGAGGTGTTACACAATATTACCCACATTCTGCAAACATCTAGAATCATTGGAGTTCAGGATGCTTTGATACAGCATATAACTTATTATTTGATATAGAAACAACGAACGCTGCTATTATTATACTGTCTAATTGTGGGTAAAGTAAAGTATTTAAATACTCCTACTAATGATGCAGGAATATATTCTTTACCACCTTTTTACACCTGCAACTACATTCAACTCACAAATATACCTTTTGCTCCGAATGACCACTCGGAAGAGGACAACCACGAATTTTAGGTTAGAAGGTGTTTTTACAAATCAGGAACACAAAATGTTCAGCTAAGAACTACACAAAAAATTAGCAAGCCAATTCTTTACTTCTGTTGCCATATGTTCAAATTTCACCTCATGTTCAATGAGCTATCAAAGGATCCTACAAAAAAGCGGTCATATTTACTAAACATGTCAATCAAAGTGTAGAGCCATATCCACAATAATATTCAATAACGAGGTTAATTTACGTCTGATATCAAAATGTTAAAATGCATCTTGAAATTGTAGGGTATATGTTTTGCATAAAAGTTTTGTTCATGCAACTATCATTTTTAGTGGAAAGAATCATTCGTCCTCCACCTGCCTGGTACATTTAAGCTGTCCAAATAATGGAATAAATAAATATAACCAACACGAAGATATTTGTCATTTTGTTTAGGGCTGAGACGTGATTTTCTCCACACCAACGTCTTCACTCGGTACAAGGCCGCCAGGTAAGACACAGCTTGGAGTACTTCTCACATTGGGGTGCTCGTAAATCCAGGACTGGCCTCTATTTGACCGCTTCTTCATTCATACAGTGTCAAGGCAGCTGCACAGTTTGAGGAGACTTGTCAGAAGCTCTGGTAAATTTAGCCAATTCACACGTGTCTGTTTCTTACAGAGGTCGCTTCGGTTTTAAAACTTTTGCCTAGGCCGCTACATCACTACAAACAAGTGCGACAAACTCGTTGAAATTCCGACCCTTTAGATCCGTGATACTGCGCCAAACTAACATTCGATTGATCTTATCCCGTACATGAAAGTCTCTACATGAGCGTTTCCAATAAACAAAGAATTTCGTGAATATCTCACACACATCGTATTTAATTCCATTTCAAGGTCCAACCGTACTTAATAAAAAATCTTTTATTGCATTCTTCGCAAAGAATTATAAAATCAGAAAAGGCAAAGTATCCCTAGTTCGCACATAAACTCATAGGTATAACAGTTTCACCACGAACGTTCTAATATATCCGATTCAAGGCACGTTTCTAATAAATAATTTATTTTCTTCTTATTCAAATGTGAAAAATTGTTATCAAAGCATGTAGTTACCAAGAACTGACAGGTCCCGACTCCCAAATAATTACGATCACTAGGTGACGTTGTCATGGTGCACACAGGCGTTTTAATGATTAGTCATAAGCGATTCCAATGTATAGAATCGCTTAAATTTGACTGCTCGCTGACTTGCATTTTGAAAGGTGATACACTTATACTCTGGGCTACTTACTTTATAATGGGGTATCACATGAGCCCTCATTCTATAAAAAAAACATGTCCGACACTCTCACTCAGCATGCAATTTTCACCTGTTATTTTTACGGTAGAGTATAACTGATAAATTTTGTCAACCCAAATTTCAGCTTGCTAACTCGACCCGTTCAAAAAATAAGTAGTTGAGACCTTTTTGAAAGGCATAATAGGCTAATAAAATATTTGACAGTAGTCAGTAATCTCTACAAAGTTTGGCAATGGACTCAGCATTAGTAAGACAGGTGAAAGGGACACATTGCCTCTGCGCTTGCACACCGGCGACACCGTATATAGTTATTATAAATTTAATAACACCTCGGACGTCCTTCGTCCTTTTGCATACTGTCGAAAGTGTATGATTATGCTCTGACTCGTTTTTCTTATGCCAGCGAAATATCTCGCCCGTTATCTCGACAGAAATCTCCATCTCGGTATGGCGGTAAGCTGCGTACCAATCATTCTGAGAAAAATGGAAACACATACAGGAGCGTCCAACTTTCTATAAGCGATTACTAGATATAATACTGACAGATCAGTAGTATACTTGAAAAAATGTGGTCAATGACTGCATTCACGTAATTTAAAGCGGTACAGCACTACAGCGGCTTTATGTTGAATCGCAGTAGCCATGCAATAGCTTTGACGATTTGTTACACGTTCAGTAAATTATTTATCAAAATAGGTCAGTCAGGTAGAAGCTGCTGCGAAACCAGTGCAGTGCTGGACCGCTTTAGGCTACGATTAGTATGGATGCGAATTCTGACGAAATGCTGGTCTTACGAGTACGTCCGACCGCGGTTTTCTGTTTGCGTTTCCTAACATTTTGATAGTCAGTACGTCTTTGCCAACCAGCAAATATAGACGAAGTTGACGAATTTTGTTTCCTTGAAGGTCTTTTTACTTACTGTTGTTAAATAGTAGAAAAACAGAGCATGTCAGGATTATCTGTATTTTCAGGCAGGGACGACCAAGAGGAGTTTGAAATGTTATTTGAAAAATAAAATTGCTGAACCAAGCGCAAGTTTTTCGAGTATTTCAGGATAAAAGTACCTAATAAAGATAACTGTACCACGTAAGTGATAAATAATGCACACACGTCAGAATAGAAATAATATTTACTGGTCGTATTGAGCTCTGTTGCAATGGTGGACCATTTTTGCTGAGAGATATCTCTATTACGAGAATGTTTGCCTCTCATATCCAACATTGATATGTTTTAGTACAAAAGAGTTATCAATTTATCGTTGTCCTTAATGAAATAACCAATGAGTACACACGAGTATTCTGATGAGCTGATCGCTGCCATTGTAAACACACCCATTGGAAAACAGATGATTGTTTATTCGGACGAATTGGTCAGAGCTTTTCAGTACAAAATTTCGTCAGAATTCGCATCCATAGTAACCGTAGTCTTAAGGACAGGGATCTAGATAACTGGCGACCCCGTCAAATACAGCGACGATTGATGAAATACGCAATTAGAAGGTCAGAATTTTTTTTCTAATTCTGGTGGCACACTACATACTTTAAAAGGGTGTACAAATCATACAAACTTCCGTAAATGTTGTAAATTCTCATTATAAATACAAGCAGCGGTAACGCTGCGGTGAGCGATCTGTTCGAGAACGATATCGATTACTTTGAACGGAATAAATACCCAAGACGTGGCGACAGTGCGCTTAGTTTAAAACTGAACGGCACAAAATCCAGCGGTTGGGTTAGAGTCGGAATAGGAAGAACAATGTTTCTTTACAGAAGTTAAAGGTAAACATTTATGTTTGTTACGTAATACGAGTACATCTGTTTCATTTGCTAAAAGAGGAAATATCGAGAGGCACTATAAAACTGTACATTCGTTAATTTTGAAAAATTATTCCCATTACGTTCTGCAACCAGAACGGAAAAACTGTAACGATTAAAGAATCAGTTAATGGGACAACAGACAACGTTCTTAAAAACATTCGAGAAAAGTAAGGCAACTGAAGCATCATGCTGGGTGTCCCAGATAATTACATAAAAGAAGAAACCTTATGAAGACGGGGAAATGGTAAAACAGGCGTTTCAAGAAGCTGTAGATTCATTATTTGCCATCTTTAGAAATAAAAACGAGATAGTGTCTTCTATGAAATCTATGCAATGTTCTGCTAATATAGTGATGAGACAAGTAGAAGTAATGAGCAATGATGTTCTTTTACACTTAAGAGATGACTACGATAACTGTGCTTATTTTTCACTGCAGCAGGCTGAATCCACAGATGTCGTTGACACCTCTCAGACGGTCGTGTTCGTCAGGTTTTTTTTAGTGATCTTACGATTAAAGGATTTGTTTTCTTCTTTTAAACATTTTATTTGTTCTGAGAAAATTCCAATATCAAAAGTGGTAGGCTTGACAGCCGATGGCGCTCCAGCTATGGTGGGTCGTGTAAGGGCCTCGTGGGGTTATGTCGTAAAGACGAAGGTTTTCCGTAATTTCTCTGTTAGCACTGCATTATCCATCAGCAAGTGTTATGTGGACAGTTTCTAAAACTAAACAACGTTATGAAATTGGTATTAAACATTGTGAACCAGATTAGAGCTCAAGCGTTCCAAAGAAAGTTGTTCAATACCTTGGCCGATGAAATTGACTGTCAATACGGGGAACTACTTCTTCACTCTGAAGTCCGATGGTTAAGTAGAGGACGAGTGCTGAAACCTTTTAATGATATCATATCTATCATAGATCAATTTTTCAAACAACGAGATGAACCGATTCCGGAACTGGAAAGTTCAATCTGGCTTAGATATTTTGATTTTCCTGTGGATATTACAGAAAAATTAACTGAACTTAATTTGCAGCTTCAGGGGATAGATAAATAATTAGCAGAAATGATTTCTGATATAAAGGCATTTATTAAAAACTTGAGTTTTGGGAACGAAACTTAATCGATGGATACCAGGCATTTTCCTGTTCTTCCAGAAAAGATATCTCAAAGTTCATTAGAACCATATGACCACAAATATGATGTAGAAATAGCCTCTAACTTGAAGGATAACTTCAAAAATCGTTTCAAGGATTTCAACGAAATTGCTATAGTGGCGCAATTTTTTGTTTCACCCTTCATGGTAATTATATTCAATAGCTTGCAACTTCTGTTACACAGAATTTCAGCGAAGACATCGCTGCGACAGAAATGGTAGTGATTGCGTTTCAAACTGATTTATCTTTAAAATCATTAGTCTCAAATACAAAATGTATCTGGCCTTCAGTAAGCAAAGATAAATATTCAGTTTTATATATTGCTCTTGTGCAAACGAACAAATGGTAAATTCCAACAAATGCCTTATTTTTCGGCGATCTATGAACCAAAACTTCCAATAAAAAATATAATATATGCAAGTTAATTAATCATGCACGGCTTCTCATCATACATTTCCATGACAGCAGCCCTGAATGATCCTGCTTTCTACGCACTCATACCTTCTCAATTTAATCCGATACACTGAAACTTCTTAATGTTTTACGAATTACCCATAAAAACCTAAAAAGTTACATAGTTCTTAGTCAGTAAAATATAAGTTTCGCCACAAAATCGACAAGTAAGGAAGCAGAAGGGCAGTAAGAGCTGGTACAGATGATCTGTATGTTTCTTATTACGTCCCAGAAGAAGCCAGTGGCTGGTTTAAAAGGGTAAAGTCTCTGCTTTGGCTGGTATGGTAAAACTGAACTGTCACAATCCCCGATAGCACGAAATATTCATTAAATATTTATTTAATATTTCATTTTTTTATCTTACTTAAATATTTTTTTTCTTAATGATATTTGTAATATAATATTTTTATTAAATATCAATATCAATCAATATCAATATCTTTTAAATATTTTAAATACAATATTTCTTTTACAATATTCATTAAATATTTACTTTTCAATCAATGGAAAATTTTAGATCTCCAATATTTAGAAAATATTCATTAAATATTTTCGGCTAGGGAGCATGTGCGTGTGACCTCGGGCGACCAATGGGATAATAGCAAGCTGGCCTCAGGCATTCATTTTACCTTTGACTTTCACTATGATAGCGTGCTTCCTGTTGAGTATAAAGGTATTCACAAGACCATGCATAACTAGCCTTGTGGGGTGCATTGTAGAGCTGCTTTTCAGTGGCTGCTTTTCAGTGGCCCAGTTGAGCTGCTCACCATGCTCTGCACCAATGTTGTTCCACTGCATTTTATATTCCCATAAATACACTGGCAAGCAGCTTATGTATTCAATAATACTTCATAATTGGTAAGTTCGTTTTTCTTCAGAGGAGTGGACTTGCAAGATGGAGAAGAGGCTTAGAATGTTTTTAATAATATTTTTCTAGCAAATTAAACCATTATATCTAGAATGAATTTTCTTCATACGCCTAATTTTATATAAGCATTCCTACAGGTTTTGCTAAAATAACCAATATATACTGAAAATATGTATCAGATCGATGATGAAAATCCATACATATTTACGAAAAGTTTTAGATATTTCATTAAAATATAAAATTGGTATTTAAAAACCTTTCCTCATATATTTTCTAAATATTTGGAAAAAATATCGCAAAAATATATGAACTATATATATTAAAAATATCTATAATGAATATTTCATAAATATGTAAGAAATATATTTATTAATTATTAAAAAATCTGTCGCTACAAATATTTTTTAGAAATATTTAATAAATATTTAATGCTATCGGGGATGGCACGTGGTAGATATATAATTCTTTGGAGATCTGTCAGTGTATGAAAAATAATTGCGAGTCTTGTTTACTCAAGTGACAGCTGACCGTCAGCATGCTCAAAATATTATTATAAAAGGCCACATAAGTTGCCCAGTAGGCCGCATAACAATTGTTATCTCAAAATCCGCCTTATGTATGCTCGCCAGAAACGTTTTTCCATCAGCACTTCTACAGAAAGGGTTAACAAGCTTTCGAACAACAAACACGGCTTACCAAAAATAATCCAAAAGTGAAATACCCAGAAATCCAATTTACCTATTTACAAAAAACAAACTATCAAAACAGCCTGTGCAATCCGACTAATCGGCTTAGCACCCTTTGAGGCGTTTTCGAGTGAAATGGATTCGTCAAAATAAGCAATAGGGTTTGCGGGGCTTAAAGAGCCTACAGTCGAAATGAAACGTCAAGATCTGATTGGATTACTGACAGGGGATCTTGGTGACACGCGCTAAATGGTGGTTTGTATCACGAAATTCGGGCTAATATGTCACCCGCTGTGGGGCGGCATGATAAGTAGGATTGACAATTCACAAAACACTCGAAGAATTGGACGGGCCTGATGTCCAGTATTATGTTGATTTACTGATCTGTTATTCTTCCAATATAATCATTTAAATCATTGAAATTTTAAAATACTGCGAAGGAGTTTGAATGCCAAAATATAATATTCGTTCTTTTTTACAAGTTTCTATATAATTTGACCTGTTTGTTAGTACAAATATGTGTGGGACAAATCTTGGAACTGGATTTTGAACCATCTAAGGTTAACTAATTGAGCTGAATTTTTTGTACACCCATTTGGTTTGTGCGACAATACAAAATGAACTAACAGAAAATGACGATTTATCATTTTCTTAGAAACCTTTATGGTAATAAATGGAAGGGCTTAATGAGAGGAACACAAGAAACAAATCTATGTTACTCTTAATCCAATATGGCAGCCGCCGCAAAATAGCTATAATGGTATTAACAAAAAGGGCTTATTAAGGAAAATGCATTAAGCACAGTCAAGTGATTCTAAATCCAATATGCGCTCATCCCAAGATAGCTTTAGATATTTTATTATCTGCTAATATAATAGAAGTGCTTGATTGTGTCAGTATTTGCACCAATTAATTGATTTGTTTAATGGGCAGTTCACAATCTTCATCCTTAAGCTTAGTACGCACCAGTAGACCCCGTTGCGCTGTTTGTCTATAGGCAGTCTGGAGACGGTCTGAAGACACGACCTACGAGTATAGATGGTCTACAGACATCCTTCTTTGTCTCGTCTAGCGTCCATACGATAATGGGAATTTTTCGGTCTCATGTTCGTTTTCGCCATCAAAGACGTTGTTTTGTGTGGAATGGACTGGGATATGGACGTTGTTTTGTGTAAGATGGACTGGGATATGGCTCGTCTCTAGACGTTGAGTGACGTCTACACTGTCGGAATGTGTGAAAATATGTACATTCCGATCAGGAGATTATGCACGTGAGATTTTTGGTCTCACGACAAGCCCGGAGAGCGGGCTTGGTTTATGGAAATGTCTACATAGACATCTTGAGACATATTTCAGAGGCCTAAATCGCACAACATGTCGACTAGTTATGAGGATTTCTGAGCATTTTCCATGTTTTTTCTTTGAATCTGGTATTTATCAGATAGAAATCAACACAAGCATATGTGGTATCTATCACGTCAAGTTTTCGGAGTACACGTCGACAATTATTTCAACTAACCTCACTTTGCCCGTTAATAAGTAGTTGTCGATGTGCTATTCATTGTTATTGTGCTGTTTTGTTTACAAATCGTCTGTATTCCATAGCCTCGGTAACGTTACACATATTTATTTGGAAATCTAATATGACTTCTGAAGTGAGTGGTCGCCGCAAATGCAAAAATGCACCAAATAAATTTTGTTACGTTTGCGGTATATGGTTAAATCACAAAGGAAAAATGAACCATAGATACCTCAGTTTTTTTGTGTTCCGTGCTGCGGTTCTATCATATCTTGGTTTAATGGAAACAAGACATCAATGCCATTTGCCGTACCAGCTGTATGGCATGAACCTAGTAATCATTTTAATGATTGCTATTTTGCATGTTTGACATACGTGGTTTTTCAAAGAAAATCAAGCATAACATTCAGTATCCTGACATTCTTTCAATGTCGAAGCCAGTACCTCACAGTGAAGCAATGCCTCCTCCTTTACCTCCTACCAAAAATGGGCATGAGGTTACAGAAGAACCAGATTTGCCAAATGCTGTAGACTATGATAACAGCAGCAGCGACGACCCAGAGTTTCTACCATCTACAACTTCTCTTGGCCGTCCACATTTGATTAAACAAAATGAACTGAACAATTTGATACGAGACTTAGATTTATCAATTGGACACGCTGAATTACTAGAATCTAGATTACAAGAGTGGAACTTATTGACTTCTAACACAAAAGTAACTGTGCAACGGAAACGTAATAAAGAAATGACTCCATTTTACTCAAATTTTGAAAACATTTGTTACTGTAACGACAAAGATACTTTGATAGATACTGTTGTTTTCTTTGTATGTTTTTTTTTTTGGTGAGGGGGAAATGCATTTACGCACCTTACCATAGCCCGAGCTATGGCGTATGTGGGACTCCAGGTTGTCTTGAGGAGACTACCTAATACCCACTAAACCCTAACCTCTGTGTGGCGCGACTCATCAGCGTCTCGGTAAGGCCATGTGTTGTGCGTGACCTACGGTCTGCTACAACGTCTCCTCATGTGTTTCAGTCTCTGGGAACGCAGAATTGGTTCCCTTTACCTCGCACATTCTATCGATGTCGTTAAGCGATCATCGATAGAGGGTCTGCTAGGTTCTCTTGAAACTCTTGTTTTCGAAAAATCAAGAGTTTCAATTCCTCTTACCTATATATTGTTCCTGGTCCTGGTCCTGATTGGTCCTGGTCCTGGTCAAGGCTATGAATAAGGGGGGAGATGGTTTTTTATATTTAAAAACAGTATTTCCAAAGTTAAGTGACGCCAAACTCAAGGATGGGATATTCGTGGGACCACAAATACTCACACTGATGAAAAACTCAAATTTCCACAAAAAGCTTGCTGACAAG